TCGAATTGTGATTGTAACAATGCAAACCTCAACCAAATTCCGTCTTTATTGAACAAAGTATACAGACCGCGTTCTTCAGCTCAAAATCGCGGACCGAAACAGAGAGCTTGGCCACGTTCGCAATATGTCAACGAACGCAACGAAACGAAAATTCAATACCCTATTGCAGGGCTTAGGATCATCGAGCGCGAAAGCCGCCAACGACACGTTGGCGCACGAGACCGACTCGCCTTCGAATCGCTCTACTACTTCGCCCGGCACAGAAACTCGTGTATCCGGCGCAGATGCCGAATTACTTCAAAAGCGTCGAAGATTAGGCTTTCCGGATTCAACGGCACCCAGAGCTGGCAAAAGAACAAACCTATCTGCGACCCTCTCTGCTATCGTTTCCCGACGCACACAAGCACAGGACTCGTCCAAGAAATCTACAGGGGCACCCGCGCGATATGCACCGACCGATCGAGGAGACCTTTTGAAAAGGCTAGGCACGTTTCAAGAAATAACGGACTGGACTCCAAAGCCGGACAAAGTGAATGAGATAGAATGGGCAAAGCGTGGGTGGGTTTGCCATAGCAAAGAGACAGTTCGCTGTCTTCTCTGCCATCGAGAACTAGTTGTCAAACTCAATCGCAAGGTTGTGGATGGAAAGGAGGTTCCTGTTCTCGTGGCATCCGAGATAGGTAGGCTCCCCCCCCCTTGGATCCTTTATCATCGCGCTAATCTTCAGTAGAGGATGCATTGGTAGACAAGTATGCCGACCTCATTATAACTTCTCACCAGGATGATTGTCTCTGGCGTAAGCGGGGCTGTGATGGTAAGTTGTTCTCGTCGGAAGCGCATATCGTCTTTGTTTTCTGACCTTGTTGCAGATTCCCTTCTCCGGTTGTCTTTAACCAACGCGACTACTAGTCTTGCCGCTTTACATGAACGTTATGATGAGCTGCTAGCACGAAAATCATTCTTGCCCTATGGATTCAATCTTCGACTGCCAGAGGAGTTGAACTTGGACCATGTTCTTTCACATCTACCGAACGACTTCTTCACCAAACCAGCAGCAGCAAAGGAGGCTGAGGCTCAGCCAAATCGAGTCGCACTATCGCTTGCCTTAATGGGGTGGCAAGGCCTCAATAACGCCCGTATCGGCGCAGTGCCAAACTCGGCATCATGCCACACTTGTCTCAGGCGACTAGGATTGTGGATGTTTAAGAGCAAAGAAGTGGGCGAGAATAATGAGGTTCTGGTACCAGCCCCTATGGACTTCTTGGATCCAGCTCGAGAGCATCGCTTTTTCTGCCCATGGGCGAACTCTGAGACTCAGAAGCAGGCACATTCCCAGAAGGCTTCTGGGCAAGACTTGCCAGGCTGGAAGGTGTTGGTGCGAACCATCGCGAACGAAGCACATCTTCGGAGTGTTTATGAGGGACGTTCACCCGCGAGACCGCGAACTGAACGATCAATGGGAGCACCGTCCACACCCCAGAGGCCTGGAACGGCCGCCTCCATCAACACGCCGACTCAGACCCCTGGCTCTGTTGGAGCTGGGGTAGAAAATGCCGAAGAAGATGAGAAAGAGAGAGATGTAAAGGATAAGGAGAGATGGGCGAGGTTGAAAAGAGTAAAGAGTTTGTTTGATACGAAAGGGAGCAGGAAGCTGAGGCACTCGATAAGCAAGTCCATTAGTAGACCCGGAACTGCCACTTCGACAAAATCGGCCAGATCAAATGGAGGCCAGGCGGAGTGATGGATAGAGTCTCTGCGTTTGTTAGTAAAACACATGATGATACCAGAGTTTTGATTTTAGCATAGGGGCAAGGCGCGGACGGGCAACTACCCCCTCAAGGCTGTATTAATACATTATTAAAGACGGGGCTGGCCCTCGCACCAAGTTGCTTCTCTGAGGTGTCTTATCATGTCGAACGAACTATTGTACAATGATCAAGAGCTAGATATTACATGTATGAGTCGACTGGGTTTCGACATCCAAGCTCATGATTTCCAAACGATATCGTCAAAAGAGACGAGCTTCCCTGTATAAGCCTTAGTCTCAGGTTGCTTTTCTATCTTGTCTCCCAGAGAAAAGCCAGCCATCTCCAGTATTGCAAGTCTTACGCCCCCAATGCCACCTCTATCACCAAGCCGGCGGGATACGGACGCAATTTTGGAGGCTGTGGCATAAACATCCAGCACACGCCCAGACCCTTCCCTCCAGGAGGCAGCTGATTGGGCCTCTAAACCGCGCATGATGGCTTCGATCTGAGTATGAAGCCTGTGACATGCATCTTGCCACTCCTTCCCAGGCTTATCCGCTTTGGTGATGACGACCAATGTTCGAGTGTTAGATTGAGCAAGTGTTCTGAGCATCCACCTATCCGGTTCCTTGAGCTTCTTGTCGGCCGGTATCAAGATCACAGCGCCACGAAGCATGTTCCTGACGTTGAGGTACTTCAGGATAGTCTTTCCCCATGCCTCTTGACTTTTGAATCCGTAGCCTGGCGTGTCCATGAGGACCAGGCTGTGATTTGGCGGTGCATCGCCTTTGCGAATAAGCTCCTTGGCAATCTTGGGACGTGGCCCAACACCATACGCATTCATCGTCGTAGTCTTGCCTGGTTTGTGGCTCACCTTGGCTATTTCCCGACCACCAAGAAGAGCATTGAGGAAAGATGATTTTCCTGCATTGGAGGCACCCAGTACAACAATTTCTGGGATGTGGTCGTTTTGGGGGTGGTCATGAAGGTTTTCGGCAGAGTAGAGTATCTGGTAGCGTTCTTCAAAGAACTTTCCTGCTGCTGCCAGAGCAGGCTTGTCTTCTTTCGGCACATCGACTGGCGAAGTTGAGCCCTGCTTGAAGCAGATCGACTCACTCTCTATCAATACCTGCTGATGGGGCTTGATTCCCTTAGGCAATGGTCCTCGCGGTTTAGCCTTTCGGGGTTTCGAGGTACTGTCATGGAGAGAAAAGCCTGGAACGATAATCTCCTGAGCAGACGGCTGGCTTCTGGGTTCCTCAGCCCTCACGTTGGAACTCAAGGTCGGCGTGACTGCAACTGGTGAAGTTGCAGGGCTGGCTTGCAGTGCTTGGTTGGAAATACGACTTGTAGGTCGGCGAAGTGGTCGTTGACGCAGGTTCATCCGACCTGACATGCTGAAGTGAGCCTTCTGCCCAGCAACCTTGGAACATGACGATAAATAACATAGCGGATTTGACGGAAAGACTCTTAGTGGTGTCATGGTGACCTCTATTGAACGGGCAATGTATAGGTAGGTAGTGTAGGAGCTAGGTAACCTAGATATGAGAATTTTCGTCAAATGGGTTTCTCGTTCCAGTTCTGCGCAGTCAAAACAACATGGTTATTTCCATAAGACAGCAGCGTAAAATGACAGAACAAAAACAAGAAGAAAATCAACCGGGAAGAAAATACCAGTAACTGCATAGGTACCAGAGAAATGTGAGGTTTGCGATGAGCTCGAGGACGTCACGTGCTGCTTCAAGTGGTCCACCAGATTTCTAGATCACGACTGTGAGAACAGGTAGAATAACCTCGACTCGTTAGAGCAAGTCGAGGAAAAGCCTAGGTACATACGAGAGGAACAAAACTCGTGAGTCTTTTCCAAGGGAACCCATTCAAAGGGCTGATGTACTGAACCTCCAAGCTTCTAGTTTCCATCATCACGGCCAGAATGGCATCAGCAAACCTTACTGAGATCGACGCCCACGAGCAGCCATCTGATGAGATGCGCGCTGAGTGGAAGAGCTACATGCGTCAAGATCACAAAAGTCTGCTCATCGACCCTCGAATCGATGACCCTCGCGCTCCCTTTGAAGAGTCTGGTTTCCGTCAAGTCTCGAGTCTTTCGAAAGAGCAGGTTGCAAAAAGTTTCGCTCACCTCAACCCTGAGTTTGCCTTGCAGGTCGAGAAGGATGTTCCAGTTATACACCACCCTTTAATACCAGGTACATGAACCTCCTTGTCCTTGATATATCCACAACCTGACACAACCATAGGCCTGTTGATTCTTCCTTCACTTGTGCCCGAGAACGTGCAACAGGATTTACTGGATCGTCTGATCCATCGTGATCTCAGTGTCCAGAACCACCAGACCAACCTACATCTACACTACAACCTTCCATACCCACAAGGGAAGGACGACGATGAACGGTCATTCTTCTCTATCAGTCCAGAAACACCGGCATCATTTCTCCCAAAAAACCCCAGCGTTCATAAGCCACTGTCAATCAAGCAGGTTATGCAGCGAAAACTGCACTGGGTAACGCTTGGAGGCCAGTACGACTGGACCAACCGTGTTTACCCCGAGGAATTGCCTCCCCAGTTTCCCGATGATATCTCACACATGCTTCAGGGCCTGTTCCCCGAAACTGTTGCCCAAGCAGCCATTCTCAACTTCTACACGCCAGGCGATACTATGATGATGCACCGAGATGTCAGCGAGGAGACAGACAAGGGACTTATCAGTTTGAGTTTCGGCTGTGATGGGCTCTTTATGATTGCACCGAATGACTTTAAACAAGCGTCTGAAAATGAAACACCAAGCGAAAAACAGTATCTGCTCTTGAGGCTCAGATCTGGGGATGCCATCTACATGACACAGGAGTCGAGATATGCCTGGCATGGAGTGCCCAAAGTGCTGAAGGATACATGCCCAAGTTATCTTGAAGACTGGCCAGCCCGTGGCGATGAGAAATTTGCGGATTGGCGAGGATGGATGAAAAACAAGAGAATCAACCTAAATGTCAGGCAAATGCGAGATTAGAAGACGAATACCCATTCGATAATCTTGATTAGAGCATACTGCTTATCCTGGCAAGTTACAACACATTACTTGAAACTGAGCATTATCATTAGACGCTTTCATGTGCTATTGTGAAAGTCACTCGTGCTTTCTCTCCAGTTGCTGGCTAAGCGTATAGAGTCTGGTCGCTACCCATGCAAAGCTCAACAGAACTGATTCCATACCTTATCCCATGAAAAAACGCCTTATTAAGCAAAGCCAAATCCTTGAGCATTCTCAAGTGCCATCCCAAGCCGCTCTCTTAACACCTCTTTATCTTTATACTCCGGTAGAAGAAGTGTGCCATAACAGGTATATGCTGTCGGTAAGTGTCCACCCGCGCCATCTTCTTCACCATTTTTTTGTATCACAAATTGCAGATTCTTCATGCCGCCGACAGGAACGCGGTCAGACGATGTCACAAATTCCAGAAGGCGTTGTTTCATTCTCTCGTCGTACCTCTTGACGATGGACCAGAAGTCTTTAATGGTACGATGCGAAGCATCCCAGCCCACGTAGCGCGCGTACCGCTTCAATTCGCTGATGTCAATTTCTTGAACACCCTCAACGAGTGACTGCAAGGTGGATGGGCTCAGGAGCGAGAGTGACTTTCTGTCGAGGCAAGAATTGAACCCTTGCTCGAAAGCAAGATACTGTCGTCGAATGGAAACATCCGTGAGGTGACGGATGTAATCGATGATGTAGTCGTCCCGATTTTCGTTGGTAACAAGGGGAGCGTCATCTGGGTTATCCATGTGTGGTGGTGCAATATCACAGGAACTTGAGGCTGCCTTGGGCCAGTCTGCTTGTTTGTCCATCCTCATATCTCGTGTCACAACGGTACCAAGAGATTCAACTGAAAATTCGTACGTGCGGGCAAAAATGTCCTCAACGAGGCCATCTTTTTCGTCCCACTCCAGTAATGTTGTTAGCCCGCTTGCCAAATCTGGCCAACCATCGGCGATATGGTGAAGCTCTTCAACCGGTTTGCCCAGAAGCTTCCGATAAAGGGCCCTCGGAAACGTGATGGGCAGCGTCAGGCCATTGTACAAGGCGAGCGACATCAAAAGCCCCACTAGTTCGTACTTCCAATCTTCAGTCAATGACCCAGGGGTGAACCATGCCATGCGTGTTCGTTCGTCAACAGTGAAAGCACCATATTGGGGATCGAGGCACTCGGCAATTGCCAATCGGAAAAACTCTTGCTGGACACCTCCAGAATCAAAACCCTCTTCGCCACTATTCTCCCCCAAGTGCACCTTCAGCGGGCGAAGGAGCTCTCGTTTCTCTCGTCTCCAAAGCTGGTCGAAGGCATCTCGGGCGACATTACTCCTGCCGATTTCAAGAACTAGGTATTTCGATGAAGCTGTTCTCAAAAGATCTTGTAACACCATCTTGTGGTGGGGGTTAGTAATGAGACTACCGGGATCGACAATAGCACTCATGCGAGTTTTTAACGAACTCGACTCTTCGAACATACGACTCATCCGGGCAAAATTGATGGACCGAAAGAAAGAAACAAGCGTGTCGGGGCTGAAAATGTAAGGATAGTCCAGGATGTGTCGTCGCCAGCGTGTCGAATTGAACGCTAACCAGTCCACAGGCATCTCGATCGAATCTAGACGCTCCGAAAGATAATCGACTCGAAATTGGATATCCCCAAGAAGGAGAAGATTTCGGTTGGCATCTTGCAGAAGTTAGTAAGGCCAGATCCTATTGATTGGCTAATCGGAGCATGCACATACGTAGGGTCTCGATGAACGATAAAGCTCCCCCAAATGGCCCGTCCATGGTAAAATCGGCTCGACCGTCCCATTCGTTGAGTAATATGGTACGTGCCCAATCTAGAAGAACAGTTGGCACTCGAGTCTCATGCAAGAGCCGCTCTGATTGTGGGAATTCCAAAATCGCCGCTGAGCCTGTACTGAGAAAATCGAGCTGGTCAACTAAAGGTTGCAAAATATCAACCTTGTTGTTTTCGTTCTCATTCAAGGGGCCAGCGTTGTCCATCTTGTTAGAAAAGTGCCGCCTGGCTGTGATGGCGCAAAATAGCCTACGGGCAAGTCTGATAGCCAAGTCGTTTGAGAATGCATCATCATAATCTAAACATCGAGACGACGATTGCCGGGCCATGGCGCTCCGGCCGGCGAGGGTCAATCCATTTGAGCGGACGCGGGACATCTCATACAGTGTTCTCGAATCCTGAACAGCTGGAGCTGCGGCTACCAACGCATGCATGCAGATCGACATCAAATAACCGGCGTCAACATCGGATAGAGACCCCTTGTGCTTCTGTAATCTTGAGTCATTGTCCTTGATGGAATTGTGTGGCCTCGAATCTTGCGGAGGAACAAACAAGCGCCCGGCAGCTAGCCAGAGACTGTGAAATACAAGATTACATGCGATGCGGCTTAATCGATGGAAACAGTACCAGAGTGTCTGAGAATCGTAGAGTTTTCTGTCGTGAGTAAACGATTGAACGATGAGTTGCGGATCCATGAGAACGTTGAAAAGCGTCTGGTCATTAAAACGTTGCCACTGTTTTCTAGACCTAGTTGTGCGCGACATAGATTGACGCCGTAGAGGCTTTCGCTGGTTCACGGGTCGTGGGTATGGATGAGTTGCGTCGGAGGCGGAGACTATAACTGACTGTGCTGTTCCGTCTTCTTCGTAAATGTCACAAATGAAGTCAACGAGATTGACATCGAGCTGTGAGAGAGCTTGAGGCAGGACGTTGTCCAGACTGTAGGATGAGATGTCCGGTAGTGCTGTGTCAAGGTTTTTCGTCCGTTGAGAATTATTAATTCTGAGATGGCCACAATTTGCATCGTTTTTCGGCCTGGACTCACCAAATGGCTCGACATGTGCCAAAGTTGATGGACTTGCGGGCGAAAGGGACTGCGCCGAAGGTTTTGTAACATTTTCGAAAAACCCTGGTTTTAAAGACACTTCTGGGATGCCCCGTCCAGACAAACTCTTATTGTGTCTAGGTCGCACAGATTTCTCGTGCAAGGTGCTGTTTACCTGGGACGCTTTAGTTGACTTTACTTTGTCCCCGGACTTGGTGGTATTGTTCGAGTCAGTAGATCGTCGCCTGTGCTTTGACGCAGAATTCTTTCGCGACTTTGATAGTGACCCGTTACTGGGTTTTGGCGGTTTTGGTATGAATGAAGTCTCATTCATGTCAGTCGCATGAGGTTGTACAGCTACAGTCGTCGAAGCTGTTGTATCTGACTCTTCAGGAGCAGTACTTTGAGTATCCGAGCCTGCGGTGGTTCTGACTGAGCTTGCTGGACCTTGGGGAGGGTCAAAATCCACCGCTGAATCGAGATTACTGATTTTTGTCGCCATTGCAGCGACACTTCGTGGTGTCAACCATTCGAGCATCTTGAAAGTTACAGTCCCAAAGAGATTCGCGGCGAATGAACGGTGATCCTTGCTCATGGGCGCCTCGATTACACGGATCTGAGAGACCAAGTCGCGATCTCTCAAATGTGGGGTGCATGCTGCGGCTGGCTTACTTGCGTGCCGGATCGGGGAGATCGGGTCGCTTGGGTCGTCCGTTGGGCAAGCAATGACATCTTGGGATGATAACGAGAGTGCTTGTGGTCTAGAGATCCGTTCCTTGTGTGCACTTGGCAAGGTGGCGGCGCTGGCTCTGTTATGGTCCGGATGCGAAGACGAGGATGACCGCGTAGAGAATATTAAGTTGCCAAAAGCCGCCGGCGGCTCGCGAGATTTACGGAGGAACGGACATAATCCTTTCTCCGGATCGTCCTGACTTGCTAAATATATCGCCAATGTCCTGGCACTTGTCGTGTTATACCTTCGGATGGGCGCCCGGCCTACCAAGCGGCGCCTACATGTGAAGCAAGTGGGAGTGGCGCAATTGACATTTTCACAACCTGATCGAAGTTGCAAGATGTATCTGCTTCGATAATCAGAACACGGAGGATATTGAGTGGATGGATATTGTTGTCAGACGAACCTCTCCACAAGAAGCTGGAAACCATGGCGGCGACTCGCTTGATGGATCGCATAGACTCGCGCTGGATTCTCAACGTTCTGAACATAGGCCATGAGGTCAGGGGGCGCGTCGGGAGGCAGACGTGCAAATGGCGCTTCTTGCCATAGCCCGGCGAGAAGATCTAGATCTGCCGTGAGTTCGATGGAATTGTCCCGGGGACGAACGGCATCGGGCGTCATGACATGGGAGGATGGGGTCGCGCCTCGATGGGCACCTGGAGGAGGCGTAAGAGGTGGGGGATTTGATAAAGAAATGTCAAAATTTAGAGAAGTATCGCATGAGGAGAGGTGTCGAAATAGTGTGCGCGGATATTTTACACAAAGTTGATGATACAAGTTGGTTCTATGAAGCTGAGTAGGGTATGCTGGTCGTGGGAGACATCGTCTTATCTGAGGGCAGTCTGCGCTCTCAGGAGCTGTTTGGTCAGCCTCTCGAAAGAGCCGATGATGCGCCCCTAGCTAACTGTCCCTAACAGACGCCACATGTAGTCCCAACTGCCAAGTTCTCTTTGACACCATGCTGCTTGCCAGTCTGGGACTAAGAAGTGGACCAGCTCCACCTTCTGGTGGCCAATGGCCCAGCCGCAATAGGCGGGCTAAGGCAGGCAAAAGAAACGCGGACCTTTGCTTGGAAAGACAAAAATAACTCGTGAAGCTGAGTGGATAGTTAGCAATGCTTCGACTGGTCATTTTCTGCATCTCGCCTCAAAGTCAGTCGCACCCAGAGGACGGCTTGGAAGGGCCCAGTACCCTTGCGTGGCGGGGTTTGGGGCAAAAAAAAAGTCAGTCATCAATCTCACTGATAACCTTTTCTGTGTGACGTTATCTACAGAGCCCCGCCATATCCCACCAATTCAACTCCGAATTTCTTTCCCAAACATAACCGTCTTCCGAAGACCAGGGCACAAGCGACAAGAAAATAAGCCTCATAACTCGGATCTGGACTCATAAACCGCATAATTTTCGCTTCCTATCATGGCGAGTGTCCAGGCGTCCGGTGCAGCCTCGCACCCATACACCTGCAACACCTGCCAAGTTGCGTATCGCAACATCGATCTGCAGAAGGGGCACATGAAAAGTGATTGGCAGTAAGTACATTTTTGGATCTCCAGTAGAAGCTGAGGCTAATCATCCAAAGTCGATACAACCTCAAACGCCGGGTTGCCTCGCTGCCTCCCATTTCTTCCGATGTCTTCACTGAGAAGGTTCTGCAGGCAAGGGCGGTGTCAAGCGCTGAAGCAGACAAAGCCTACTTCGAACGTGTATGTGACATCTGCGAGAAGACATACTACAGCGAGAATGCATTCCAGAACCACCTGTCGAGCCAGAAGCACAAGACCAAGGAGGCCAGTAGTGGACAGACTGTTTCTGGTCGAGCTGACGACGAAACAACCTCGATCGTCAGCTCTACGTTCTCTCTTGGCGAACCTATTGCACCTAGCCAAGGAGAGGTTGATTCCGACGCCGAGGAAGAATTCAGCCATGTTGTTGAAGGCCTCCAGAAGGCGAGCATTGCCGAGCAAAGGCCATCTCCTGTCAAGCGTCCCTCCCACCCCCAGCCCTCAGTCGCAGACGCTGCACAAGGCAATAACGACGACAACAGGGCCTCCGACTCAGCCACGCCCACGCCCATTCCTGCTACTCAGAATCCTGACATGACACTGGAATCATGCTTGTTCTGCAACTATACCTCTCCAACCATTCCTCTCAACACACATCATATGGAACGCTTTCATGGCATGTTCATCCCTGAGAAGAAGTATCTTGTTGATATCGACGGCTTGCTCAAGCAACTCCAAGATAAAATCCGAGAGCACCACCAGTGCCTGTACTGTGATAAGATTAAATCGTCCATGTTTGGGATTCAGACACACATGCGCGATACAGGCCACTGCAAGATCCCCTACGAGACTGAGCGTGACCAGCTTGAGATTGGGGATTTCTATGATTTTAGGAGCACCTACTCTGATGATGGGGAAATGAGCGACGATGGCTCGGTTGTGAACGAGACAAGTGGAGGAGCGAAGCTTGGGGCACGTCGTCCCTCTAAACTCACAGAAGAGGATGGAACCGAGGTTGAGGAAGGCGAAGGGGCAGACGGTTGGGAGACGGATAGTTCAGAATCGTCTTTAGACTCAGCAGATCTTACTGCCGTACCGGCTGAAGGTCACATCCACCAGTTCGAACGCCTCGATAAACACCCACATCACTCACGACAAGATCCGAGACAAAGACACCAAGCGGATGGCTGGCATTCTCACGCTCACAAACCTACACGTGCCGTCTTTTATGACGATTACGAACTTCACCTCCCTACCGGCAAGTCAGTTGGTCATCGTTCGTTGAACAAGTACTTCCGACAGAATCTGCATAACCACCCTTCGGCCGAGGAGCGAGCAGAGAGATTGGCGATTGAAAGCGTCGAGACCGAGCAACAAGGTTCGACTTCCGATGGTCAGCTCGTTGAGAGAGAGACTGGGTCTAGATCCCGTGAAATGGTACCGCGCGGAATGGCGGGCATGGTTGGCGCTCCAGAACAACAAAAGAGGCGAGCTCGCCGTGCAGAGGAACGAGGAAGAACCTTGGAGCAGGTTCACACAAAGCAAAGGGACTTGGCATATGGAAAGAAACACAATAACCACAAGAACTACTACTATCGTGAGATGGGTGGAGGTTAAGTAAATAGTTTAAGTGTAGTTTAAATATATAAAAAGGAAAAAATTAAAAGTTATTATTTTAAAGATTTAAATTTTATTATTAAAAAATAAATTTTTAACTTAAATTATTACTTTTTTATTAATATTATTTTATATTATAAATTATATTATTTAATATATTAATTATAATTATTAATATAATATTATAAAATAATTTATTTTTAAAAATAATTATTATTATATAAACTTTTTTTAATTTTATTTATTAAGTATTTATAAAATAAATTTAATAATTATATTAAAATTATATTTATATATATAATAATTATAATTATATAATTAAAAATTATTTTATAATATTATATTAATAATTATTAAAAAATTAAAAAATTTATATAATAATATATAAAATATAAAATATAATTAATTAAAGTTTTAAATAAAAATATAATAAAATAAAATATTTATTTTTTAATATAATTTTTTTTTTCCTTACTATTAGCCTTATAAGGCCATTAAGCTATTAACTTTATATATAAAGGCTTAAATAATAAGGCCTTTATAATAGGCCTATATCTTAAAGGTTAAAATTATATAAGGTTTATTTACCTTAATAATATAATTACTGCCTTAATTAAGCAGTATTAATACTGCCTATAAGTTTACCTTTTAATAGCTATATTAGCCTTCTTTCTTTATTATATTTAAAAGATCTTAAATTAACCTTTTTACCTTAATAAGGTTAAATTAGCACTTTAATAAGAAGTTCTTTTTAATAGTAGTTATTATTATATAAATCTCTTTTAGGTTTTTTTTTATTAACTCTCTATAAGGCAGGCCTAATAGCTATATTAAGGTTATAGCCAGTTATATAATAGGCCTAATTATATAGCTATAGGCTATTTTATAGTATTATATTAATAACTATAATTAATATTAATAGCTATAACTAATAGAAAAAGTTAAGTTAAGAAATATACTTTATAATAAACTTAACTTATTTCTATTAATACTAACCTTTATTAAGATAGCTATCTTTAATTATAACTTAATTAAATTAATTTATTATATAGGCTATTTTAGCTTAATTAATTTAATTTAAATTAATTATAAGCTATTAAGTCTAAAAGACTTAAAGAGAGTCTTAAAGAAAGGTTATTTCTTTAAATTAAATTAAGTTATATTCCTTATTGCCTTTATAGGCTTAAATATATATAAAGTATGGCTTCTTAATATAGCTAAAAGGGTTATTATAGTAAAGGAGGTATTACTCTTAATATAAAGATAGTATATCTATAAATAGAGTTTTAAAATAAAGGTAAAGTAATAATAGGGTTTAAAGGTTTAAAGAAATTAAGTTAACTTTTATATAAATTAGTTAATAAAAGTTAAATTAACTTAAAATTAATAATAATTAAATTTATTAATTAAATATATATACTTAAGTATATAATTAATTAACCTTATATTTAAAAATAAATAAAGTAATATTAATAAAAAAGTAATAGTTTAAATTAGGGTTTTAATATAATATAATATAAGATATTATATATTATATTAAAAAAATATAATAACTTTAATAATAAGTCTTAAGGTTATATAGCTATTATTATAAACTTTATAATTTAATTAAATAAATAGCCTTAATTTATAAATATAAAAAAGATATTTCTTTTAGCCTTAATAGGCTAAATGCCTTTTTTATTATTATCTTATTAAGGTAATTATTATTAAGGCTTTAACCTTTAAAAATTAAATTATAATAATTAAAAAACTAAAAATTTAATTATAAAATATAATATTATATAATTAACTTTAATAATAGCTATAACTATCTAACTATAATAATTATTAATTATATAAATAGTTCTTTAATTAATATTAATAACTTTAATATTATAGTAATTTTAATATTATATAACTTTTTTTAATATTAAAAAATTATAAGTAAAAAGCTTTTATATATTAATAAGTTAATATTAGTATAAAAAGTTAATTTTATAATTTTAAATTATTAAATAAAGCTTTTWAAGATATAATTAAATATAYCTTAAAAATAGTCTTTTATTATATATATTATAAGCTAAAAGGTAGCCTTAAAAGACTTAATTAATTACTTAAAATATAATTAAGGCTTATTAATATAATAATAAGCTTTTATTATTAATATTATATTAAGTAATAATAATAGTTAATACTAGCTTATAATAATGCCTTAATAATAAGGCTAATTAGTCTTTTACTATATAACTGTAAGACCCCCTTAAATCTATTATAAAAACCCCTTATTAAGAAATCCTGCCTCTTTAAGCTTTAATTAATATAATACTATTATATCTATTTAGCTATTATTAATTTATTATAATAATTCTAAAGCTTTTATTTAAATTATTTAAATATAATAATTAACCCTTAAAGAATTATAGTAATTAATTTAAATTTAAATAAGTTATTAATAATAACCTTAAGAGTTATTAATAATTCTATCTTAACTAATTAAAGAAAACTATCTTAAATAATAAC